GGGAAAGAGAGATTAAATTTTGAAGGATGAATAAGAGCTAAGCAGGGAAAGACAGGTGAGAAGGGCATTCTTGGTACTGGGAAATGGCCCAAAGAAGTGGGGGAGCTACAAGCAGTTAATACGTTCAAGCCAGGTTATGAAAAAGAAAGAGGTTGGTGATGTGGGAAGGGGCTAAGACGTTTTGACTTTAACCTGGAGGCAATGAGGGAGCCACCTAAAAGGTTTAGGTAAAGTGGCCCAATTTACACTGCATGAACAGAAACACTGTAGGCTGCCTGGAAGAGTCAAGCTGAAGGCAACTAGTTAGGAGGCTATCACCAATGTCAGCAAGACTCCCTGGACAAGGAGGCTGGAGACAAGAAACTAGCTACATCAGAGAGAGACATGTTCAGGTGGTAAAACTGCCAACACTAACTGACTGGATACAAGGGACTAAGGGCATATATAATAGTGGACATAAAGGAAAGTCCACTACAAAAATGTCTTTATCAATTGCCAAAGGGTGATGGAGAACTTAGCTCAGTATATCACTTTCTTAACTTCTCATCATGCCCTACTGCAGCCAAGCTGACCTGGTCTGTTACCTTGTTGGACTTGAGCATGGCCAGCTGAGGTGATCCTGGGGGAGTGCGATAGAGCAGCTCAGAAGTGAAGGCTGCGTTTGCGATCTGCATGCATTCTTCCAAAGTCTTCAGAAAAGTATTGCAGGTTGATTTCAGCAGAGTTCCCACATCAATTCCCTCCTACAAAACAACCAGAGTGAAGACTCCTTTACCTTGCCAAAAAGGAAAAAGCCCAGTTGTGGAATGTCCTTAGAGGTTTTATCCATCTAATAACGGGTGATAACAATAATCATGTACCCGTCTATTTTGCTGGACAAATATGTGTATCAGTTATAAAAGAAAAAGACTGAGCAAGTCCAACTTATCTATTAATCATACTCAAGCCTTACCCTCAATCTGCCCTTCATGCTCACCCACCATTCCAACTGAAGGCAACGACTTCTCTCAACTCAACAACACTATATGACAGCAGTATGTCAGGTGCTAGGCGCTGAGCCCTTGTGGAGTTTGCAGTCTCTAAGGGGTGGCAGACACCAAACAGAATCACATGGACTGAAGACCAGTGGGATCAATGACAAAATGTCTCCCACTGTCTGAGTAAAAATCAAGTTCTAGAATAGAAGCATTAGAAACCACAAATCACACATTGTTTGCTTTCCAAATGAGTTTTTGGCTTTCAGTACAGATGAGTCTAAGAGGTTTCAGCAACTGGAATTATTCTGAATATCTAATCATTTTTTTCTCCAAGTTATTTCACTTGCTCAGGTTGTTTTTCCTCTGGATATTGATATTAATAAGTTGTTCAGGAAACTGAGGCTACCCCCTGACTAGAGAGTTTGGTAACCACATCTTAGTGGTATTAAAGTTACGAGATTGGGCCCAAGATGGAAACACTCATGCTAAGTCTCATATCAGCAAACCAAAAACTTATCCAAGTTTCTATGCTGGGTTCTCCCAGAAAAGGTAGGCCTAGGTCAACCAATCAGTGCTTGCCTGCTCAGCACAAGTTAGTGTACTGACCTGGCTCCAAGACTTCCCTTTGCTCCCCATAAGAAAAGTAACCCTGCTTTAACCATTCAGCAAATGCCCAGTATAACTTCCTTGTTCCTGCTTACTTTGGTCCATAAAGATCTCTAGCCTGGTATAGCTCTTCACAGCTCCTTTCTATCTGCTAGACTGGATGCTGCCTGATTTATGAATTGCTGAATAAAGCTAATAAGATCTTTAAATTTTACTCAGTTGAATTTTGTTCTTTAACCATAGCCTCTATATTTTCCTCAGTTTTGTATTTCTAACAAGCTAGATGTTACTGGTCGTGAACCACTATTTTTCAGACACCAGTTACAATGTGTGGCTTTTTTCCACACCACCAAGAAATTCTTGGACACCAGCCGGGTGTCTTACAATTCTGACACAATTTACCTGGAAATAGTGTCAGATCTCACAGGTTAAGCGCTCAGTCCTACAAGATTGCTCCCCACCCCCACTTCAGACACCAATGGCAAGTTCAGGGTGTCACTTGTGCTACTGACTGACCCACACTAGACGGAAGATTCCAACAACCCCCTCCTTGTGTTTAATTACTTTGCCAGAGCAGCTCACAGAACTAAAAGAAACATTTAACTTATTAGACTGCCAGCATATTATAAAAGGATATAACTCAGGATCAGCCAGATGGAAGAGATGCATAGGGCAAGGCATGTGGGAAGAAGCTTGGCGCTTCCAGGCTCCCTGAGTGTGCCACTCTCCCCAGTCAACACATATTCACCAGCTCGGGAGCTCTCCAAACCCCATGCTGTGGGTTATGGAAGCTTCGTTAAATGGGCACGATTGATTAAATCATTGGCCAAGGGTGACTGAAGTCAATCTCCAGTCCCTCTCCCCTCCCAGGAGGTGAGGGGGTAGGAATCAAAGTTCCAACCCTCTAATCACTTGCTTGGGCCTACAGTCAACCAGAGCCTCTATCCTTAGTATTTTCCAATTAACATAACAAAGACACTTTTTATCACCTGGAAATTCCAAGGGTTATTTTTTGGAGCTCTATGCCAAAAACTAGACAAAGACCAAAGATATATTTCTTATTATAAATCACAATATCATAACCACAGTTTCATAAGCAAGTTCCCAAGGCACTTACTATAAACACTTCCTAGAATTAAACATTGCTGTGTTCACTTTTCCCCTTCCTACTAGACCAGGGCTTCTCTACCTTGGCATCACTGGCATTTGGGGCTGGCTTATTGGAGCAGGGGATATAGGGGGAGTGGCTCTCCTATCCATTGCAGATATTAAGCAGCATTTGGCCTTTACCCCTTAGATGCCAACAGCACTCCCCCAGTAGTGACAAACAAAAGTGTCTCAGACGTTGCCCAGTGTCTCCTGAGGAGCAAAATTGCTCTGGGTTGAGAATCAATGCTCTAGGCTCTAACATCCCCAAAGCAGGGCTGAAGTGTTTTGGTACCCCTCCCATCTCCCTCCCCCAGCACAGTATCTTGTACACAATAGGCAGTTGCTGAATGAGTAAGAGAGACCCCCAAAAAGTGAATGAAAGTGAGTTAAACCACCTTTATTAGAAAAACTTAGAGCACATATATTACTAGTAGCATAGTGATACACTACCTAAGAAAAGTAATTTAAAACCATTAATTATAATCTACAGATTCTTCATTTTGTGAGCACTGTTTTTCAGATAACTTCTCTGAGAGCAGAGCAGAGAGCCCTCTCTGGTTAATGTGAACCATTCAATACATAGCTTAACACCAGATAGATGTTTTAATATACGTTTTAGAATGAGTAAATAACAATTTCATTAATAAATGATAAAAATCGCAATCCTTGCTGATGATGGAGAGAAATAAAACTGTGTCTCCATCTTTGAAAGCACTAGTCTCTACTCAAGCAGAACATCTATTACAGTGAAATAAAATCCTGTTACAGTCTCATCAGAGGTGACAGATACATATTACTGACAGACATGATGCTGTCATCTTAGGAGCCACATGCGTAGTATAGAAATGGCTCTGCCAGACAGCTAAGGCTATATTTTAGAAAGTTATGCAAACTGGGGAGACACATATTTTAGTACATCAGTACTAAAGTTAAAGGTTCCAAAATTATCAATTAATTAATCCTGAATTCATCCCAGGAAGGAAAACTATACGCTTCCATATGCGGAAATGCACACACTTCTCTTTGTTGAAGTCTGTCACTTTTTTTCTCTGAAAAGCAGTAAATTCCAAGGTAGGGATTATGTGAGAATAAGCAGCACCTGTAAGCAACATCTGGTGCTACTTGTCACGTGGCTAAGAAGAATGGTATTTTACCTCAGAATTGGACACACCAGTTGCGGTCACTTCTTTTGTTTTATCTACTTGCTGAACAAGAAGATCACAGTAGAGTCTTAGTTCCGACATTTTAGTTTTCAAGTTTTCAGTGTTTTCAGCAAACTCTAAATAACAAAATGATGAAAACATAATTTAATTCCCAGAATAAATAACTGATATACTAGTTAGCATACTATACAGAGAAGTGAAATATAATCTATGCCTAAAGTCAGATGTTTATAGTATGGGTTACAGATATGACATATTTGAAGTTATGGGAGCAAGAAAAAGAGAAAAAGGAGATTTCTAGTCTTCTGAAGTGATCTACATTATTTCTTGAGCCAACATATTTAATGATCACCAGTACAGGAAGAAGGAGACAGTATACCTCTGATCCACTTGTGTCAGAACTGGGAACAGTCAAGGGTTCAGGGTTTTGGTCTCAGTTCTGCCACAGTTTTCCTATCTGTAAAATGGGGTCACAGCTATCTATCCAGTGCTCAAAACTGGGAAACAGTGTTCTGTAACATGCAATTACCACTAATAAGACAGCTTGTGAATTCAGAGGACTGGTCCAGCATGCTGCCTGGCAAGGCGAACGGCACCCTCTGCACACCTGCTGTTCCTTCATTAGCACGGCACTCCAGCCATCCTGGCGCTGAGGGCTCGGCTACAATCATAACTGCCTCTGCTTTCTTCTCCGTGAAAAAGCTGCACATTACCACCTGATCTGAGTCAGAGCTGACAGTGTCTAGAATTTGCTCTCGACTTAGCATTGAAAAACAACCAACAAATAGGTCATTTTACTGTGTCTACTTGAAGAGTTAAGCACATCTGCCATATGTGTCATGAGAAAGGTCCCCTGAAACACTTGTTCCCAGAGGCCCCTCTCTCCCACCAATCTTTTCAGATGTACATTCAAGGCTGGGGGGCTGGGAAGGCAGAGCTCAGGCAGTAAGCCCTGGCACTCGTGACCCAGGCAAAATAGAAAGTTATGCCATGGTTCTCAGGAGACCTAATGATGTTGAGTTAATGAGCACTAAGCAGCAGCAACCTGACAATTAAGTATCCATCTACCCCAGGAACAGGGAGGGGAAAGCGGGGTGTTACTGCAGGAAATACCAGATCCAAGGCTTCTCTGGCTCAGCTACTCTTTACCAAAAGTCAACTTTGTGCCAGACGAGGTAGCTCATGGTAATCCTTCTAAAATAGGTAATTACCTCTTTTCAAAATATAAGGAAACTGAAGATTAGAGAGGTTAAGTGACCTATGTCAAGGTCACAAAGCCATGATTTGAACCCAGTTGTATCTGGCTCCAAAACCTGCATTCTTTCTACTATGACATGCTAAGAAAAAAGAGGTATAGACTGTTTAAGGTCCACTGAAATATACAGCACTTGCATGATATAAAAAGCTGGCTATGGGGGCTTCCCTGGTGGCGCAGTGGTTGAGTCTGCCTGCCAATGCAGGGGACACGGGTTCGAGCCCTGGTCTGGGAAGATCCCACATGCTGGGGAGCAACTAGGCCCGTGAGCCACAACTACTGAGCCTGCACGTCTGGAGCCTGTGCTCCGCAACAAGAGAGGCCGCGATAGTGAGAGGCCCACGCACCGTGATGAAGAGTGGCCCCCGTTTGCCGCAACTAGAGAAAGCCCTCGCACAGAAACGAAGACCCAACACAGCCAAAAATAAGTAAATAAAATACTGAATGCATAACTACTTTAAAAAAAAAAAAAGCTGGCTATGGCTAGGTGGTCAGAAGCAAGATAACAAATATGGGAACCCAGAGATGCCACTAGGTGATTCCCAGGGTTCCCAGTCCAGAGGACAATCAATACTTGCCTTTTTCTTTCTGGGTCCTACTGTCTGTCAGGCAAGCCTTGGCTGACCCCAAGGCTACCAGCCACCGTTGTCTCTCAGCCACACTTCTGGCCTTCAGGTAGAAATATTGTTCCCCAGGGATTATCAGGTCCATGCGTGTGTTATCTACAGAATGAACTGGGAGCAAGGCATAGGGAGGTCAGAAACCCAGAAAAGCCCTACCTGGGTAGCCTCCACTCCACCCAAATTCTCGAGCTTAACTGGCACGCCAGTCACTGAGAGCTGCTTCCAGGAGAGGATGTCAGCCCTTACTGCTTCTGGTTTATTTCTCTCTTCCCAGAGGTCTCTGCTAACGGAGAGGGAAAACTCTGCAACTGGCTCCAAGGTCTCACCAGGACTTTGGCCTAAAGAAGAATCACCTAAATCTCCTTAGGATCGTTTATAAGAGGAGAGAGGAAAAACGTCTCTTCTGGTGCGTGTGTGTGTAAAGTATGCTGCTCTGCGGCCAGAAAGGCTTGATGCACACAAGTAAGGATGTGCTCTTTATCTCCTTGGGTTATTGAAAAGCAATCAAGAGCACAATATTTTTCCTTTCTACTTTCCTTCACTAGTCTTATCAAAAATGTGAGAATTCCCTTAGAACACTTTAGGAGCAGAAACGAGCAAGCCACACTCTCCCTCATCCCCCAAGCCCCATGCTCCAAATTCCCTTCTCGTCTGCTTCTGAGCCACGTCCTCTCAGCATGTCTCAAGATTCTCAAAACCAAGAAGAAAAGGCTGTTTGTAGGTCTGTTAGGTGTTTGCTTGTTTAGTTTTGAGCATGGTGGTGGTGGTGAGAAGGTGTGTGTGTGTCGCGATTTAAACACAGAGGTGTTTGATGTTGCAATAAAAAGACAAATAAGCTTAGCAAACTGCCACAAGCCCGAGGTGAGCAGGTGACCAAGGAATGAGCACTGCATGTGTGGTTAATAAGCACATTGCTCCTCTCATTTATTCTGACGACCTCTAAACCAACCTCCTTGTAAAAACTTGCTGCAGTTTTAGGTCTTACTTGTAAGACTTTTTCTGGGGGACATAACATCATATATCTTTATACTATGGGAGCAGCAAAGAAAGGCACACAGAAGCCAGTGGTTTTTTTTTTATTTTGGGGGAGAAACAGAAAGAAAAATAAAACCTGCAAGTGTCTTGGCTTCTCACCTTGAATTTCACACACCGCCATCTGGATGCTCCCTTTGCAACCTTTCCAAGCATCTTCAGGAGAATCATAATAAGATAATATTCCCCCACAGAGAAGGAACCACCGAGGCTGCCAACCTGAAAACAGAAGCAAGAGCATGGTCTCAATTACTGCTTCTCAGGACATAGGAATAGGACCTAACAAAGGATGCTGGATTCTAGCTCCAAGGAACTTACATTCTGGGGGAAAATTCTAAGGGAAAGAAATAAGTTAGAAAAGATCTGTATGTTTGATCTCATTTTTGCATAGAAGTCTGGAAGGATCAGCAATAAATATGGTGATGATTCTCTAGGTAATGGGATTATTTATGATTTTTATTCCTTTTTCCCCCTAATACAGTACTAGTAATCTTTGGTTTTTACTTTTTCTAAGATAAAAGATTATTATTTTCCAAAGATTATTGTTAACATACTTGCTCTCTTCCCCTCTGGTTAAGAAAAATTATTCCAAACCTAGAAATGAGATAAAAGATTATGCTGCCCTTTCAACATCACACGAAGTGCTGTCTAATAAGCCTGCCTAGGGTCATATGTTCCCTAAGGAAAGATAACTTTAACTTACTATTTGGTATTGATCCACTGAAATGGAATAATCTTAAAACATTACTTCACAGCATTTCAGGGGACAAGCCATATTCAGTGGAAACACACATCTTATCTAGTCCTCTTACACAACCTATGTTCTAGTCAAACCAAACTTACTTGCTGTAATGCCTGCCTCAGGGCTTTTGCTCAAACTGGATCTTCCTCCTAAAATGTCATCCCTGACTACCTCTGCATAAGCCTTGTTAGTCTCCTCATCAGATGTATTTTTTCCTTCTCTGAAATGCCATAGCCTTTTAAGGATACATTTCTCTCACTAGACTCTTCTATAGCTGAGACAGCTGGAGCGAAGGTTGGTAGGCACTTTGCGCAGAGCCCCAAGGGCTGCTCAGGTACATACCTGATCGGCCCTTGGGAATTGATTCACACCAGCTAAATACATAAGTCACCAACTGATGTCAAAGTAGTATTGTTAGGGAACCACTAACTGAAACCGCCCACCCTGGCCAGGCAGAATAATAACTGCTTGCATGAGTTATCTCACAACAGGAGGTCTCAATAAGAAACACGGAACTGACCAGCTACCAACAGCTGGCAGAAATCGGGAGGGGCCAAAAGGAGGGAGGAGATGCCAGCCATAATATGTCCTGCCAATGTCCCAGAAACCCTGACGCTGGAAACCACCTTGACTGAGAGATGCGTGCGTCACCAGGGATTGGACCAAATATGGGCACAAGCAAGGTGACTGGCCAGAGACAACCCGGCAAGCTAACCCCATTACCATAAAACCTGACATGTGAGCTATGTGGCAGAGCAGTTCTCCTGGGTTTCCTTTCCCCGCTGCTCTCCCCCGGGGGGGCCCCTTCCCAATAAAGTCTTTTGCTTTGTCAGCATGTGTGTCTCCTCGGACAATTCATTCCCGGGTGTTAGACAAGAGCTCACTCTTGGGCCCTGGAAGGGGTTCCCCTTCTGGTAACAGCATCAATTTATTACGTTATAACAGATTAGTACACTTCCCGGAGCACCCATAGCCTAAGATCATAGTTCAGGGAAACTTACATTTTTAATCAGGAGGCTGAATGGTCAGCACTAAATCTAAGCTCAGGCACAGGAGTTAGGTGGCAGGCAAGATGTTTCACTCATCATTTACTTCATCAGGGTCTGCTTTCTAGGAACCAGAACACTCAGGCCTGCTCAGGTACCACATCTCTCACTTCCTTCAACAAAATTGGATAAAGACCAATTCTCAATATCCACCCTCATACCAGTCACTGAAATACCCTTCCCTAAAAGCCTTCTCAACCAAAGATGAGTAATGTATTCTACAACTATGGTTTATGTTCCTTTTATTCCATCTTATACTGGGGACTTCCTTCCCAGCGATGAACCTAGACCCTTTTTTTTTTTTTTTTTTTTTTTTTGCGGTACACGGGCCTCTCACTGTTGTGGCCTCTCGCATTGCGGAGCACAGGCTCCGGACACGCAGGCTCAGCGGCCACGGCTCATGGGCGCAGCCGCTCCGCGGCATGTCGGATCTTCCCGGACCGGGGCACGAACCCATGTCCCCTGCATCGGCAGGCGGACTCTCAACCACTGTGCCACCAGGGAAGCCCGAACCTAGACCCTTTACTGGACATCAGGAGCCCCATGGCCTTATCTCAACACCCCCACAAGTTGATTACTGGCTAGAAAACCTCTTGGGGTGAACCTGAAAATTTTATTTGAGAAGGTGATGCTTCCTGACCTTGGCTTCAAATTCTACAGAAACACAAACCCCAGGGCTACTATTCTTGGCACAAACATTACAATCCAGGAAATCAAACTGATCATCAGATTGTCTTGTTGAGTAGATAATCAACACTCCTGGAGTCAGATATTATTAGTGATATTTTAGCCCTTGCAAAAGAGTCATTATTTATACCTAACGCCATCTCCCTTCACTGAAACTGATGAATCAATTCCTAAGAATCTGAGAAACGGAAAGGGCCTTTGAAATCACCTAGTCCAACCAGCTCATTTTACAGAGAAGGAAACCAATCCCAGGTAGATTAAGTGACCTATCTAAGGTCACACAGGAAGTACACAACAGAGTTGGGAAGAAAACTATGTCTTTCTAACACTGTCCCTCCTGGCATAACAACCCCCAAACCTTGACTCCCCATTGCTAGAAAGCTATCCTCGTATAGAACAGTAGCATCTTCTCCCTTACAGCTCAACTCCCATGATTATGTTTGGTGTGAACACTCTCCAAATCCACTATGACTCTCAAGTAGAGGGAGTTCAGCATACCCTCAATCATCATATTTTATCAAATTTAGGACCCCATCTGTATTAGTCTTGGTTCTCCAAAGAAACAGAACCAATAATATGTATGTATATCTATATATAATTTATTATAAGGAATTGTCTCATGCAATTATAGAGGCTTCAAAATTCCAAGATCTGCAGTCAGCAAGCTAGAGAATCAGGAGAGCCAATTTGTAATTCCAGTCCCAAAGTCATCAGGCTTGAGACCCAAGAAGAGCCAGTATTTCAGTGAGACTGAGAAAACAGGAAAAGACCAGTATCCCAGCTCAACAATCAAGCAGGAAGAACTACCCCTTACTCAGCCTTTTTGTTCTACTTAGGTCTTTGACTGACTGGATGAGATCCACTCACACTAGGGAAAGCGATTTACTTTACTCAGTCTATCAGTTCAAATGTTAATCTCATCCAGAAACACCCTCAGACACACCCAGAATGATGTTAGGTCAAATGTTTGGGCACCCCATGGCCCAGGCAAGTTGACACAAAAAATTAACCATCACATGCCATTAATTTGAAGATACACTAAAATATTTGCATGTGATGTGATCGACAAGGCTTAATTTCCAAGATACACAAATAGCTCATACAACTCAATAACAAAAAACAAACAACCCAATCAAAAGATGGGCAGAAGACCTAAACAGTTATTTCTCCAAAGAAGACATACAGATGACCAATAGGCACGTGAAAAGATGCTCAATATCACTAATTATCAGAGAAATGCAAATCAAAACTACCATGAGGTGTCACCTGACACCGGTCAGAATGGCCATCATTAAAAAGTCTACAAATAATAAATGCTGGAGAGGGTGTGGAGAAAAGGGAACCCTGCTACACTGATGGTGGGAATGCAAATTGGTGCAGCCACTATGGAAAACAGTATGGAGGTTTCTTAAAAAACTAAAAACAGAGTTACTGTATGATCCAGCAATCCCACTCTTGGGCATATATCTGGAAAAAACTCTAATTCAAAAAGCTACATGCACCCCTATGTTCTCAGCAGCACTATTTACAATAGCCAAAACATGGAAGCAACCTAAATGTCCATCAACAGATGAATGGATAAAGATGTGGTGTGGGTACACACACACACACACACACACACACAAAGGAATACTCAGCCATAAAAAAGAATGAAAAAATTCCATTTACAGCTACACGGATGGACCTAGAGATTATCATACTAAGTGAAGTAAATCAGACAGAGAAAGGCAAATATCATATGATATCACTTACGTGTGAAATCTAAAATAAGATATGAAGGAACTTACAAAACAGTACTAGACTCAGACATAGAAAACAAACTTATGGTTATCAAAGGGTTATCAAAGGGGGAGGTATAAATTAGGAGTTTGGGATTAGCAGATGCAAACTACTGTATAGAAAATAGATAAACAACAAGGTCCTAATGTATAGCACAGGGAACTGTATTCAATATCTCTTCTAACAACCTATAATGGAAAAGAATATGAAAAAGAAAAAATATATATATATAACTGAATCACTTTGCTGTATACCAGAAACTAACACATTGTAAATCAATTATACTTCAATTAAAAAAACAAAATAACCTGCCCATTAAGCAATGACATGATACTCATTCTCAGATGCTTCATGACTTCAGAGCTGTTGGAATGTGAAAAAAAATGCCTAAAAATTGAAAAAATGTGGTATAAACTAGGTTTATGTTACAGGAATCTGAAAAATGTTAAATAACCCAAACACACACACACACGCACACAGCACAGCTGCAATATATTTTAAAAGTAGCTTGTAGATGATAATAGTAACTGAAATAATACCTTCTCTGTAATAGGTTCTGTATTTACCTAGGAAAAGTTATAATCACACTAGAAGAGTTTCAATTATTTTATTCTGTAGTTTGTAACTATAAAAACTATGACCAAGAAAAACTTTTCCTTAAAGCATAAAGTTCCTAGAATTTCAGAAGGCATGTTAAGAGACCACAGACGTCTCATTCCCATTATCTGAGATTTAATGGCAGAGCAATGGAGAGTCCAGAGTAATGTAGAGACACACTGCTCTTTCACGATGTACACTCCCTGGGAAGCTCAGATACAGCTCAGGGATGATGGATGAATTGCATGAGAAAAAAGGCATGCCTGATGCAGAGGCCATTAATGCACTTCCTGTTTTATTTATTTTTATTTATTTTTTTTTGCGGTACGCAGGCCTCTCACTGTTGTGGCCTCTCCCGTTGCGGAGCA